GTATGAGCCACAACTGATTACGCGTACGTTAGCAATAGCAACATGCAACAAAGAACAATAAATAATGGACCGGCTGTCTATTCGAATACGTTGCAGAGAATATCGCACGCGGGTTATCTCACGCGAGGAGCCGCGACATAAGTATGCATGAAGTTAGCTAGGGGTCGTCTGAAATATTAAGCAGCTAGACTCTTCATGCTGAGGTCTGAAAACTGTTTACCCTGGAGGGCACGATAGAGAGAGGGTCGGAGCCGTCGTTAAAACCACGGCCGACTACCTACTCCGTTTGATAAATAATGCGGTCCGCATTTTGCGCGCGAAAACTTTCGGATATCGAGCCGTGCGACGCCGCGCCCGCGATGGCGAAACGCGGAATCCGCTGAAAGCTGCGTGCGTGTTAAAATCGCGTCGCATCGATTAGAAACAATCTTGGAAACGTGCAACTTGCAGGCAAGATTTGTACGAAGGTTTTGCATTTTAGAATCTCACGAATATGTTGTTGGATGTGTGTCCATATCACTGCTGGATCACTGATGGATGTACTTATCTCTGTCGCATAATACTATATAAATATTATAAATACTATATCGAGATGATACATGATCTACCTGTGCGGTATCTAGCCATTTCTCTAGCCATTGTCTAAATCTAAATGTTATAACAATTGCCGCTGGCGGCTAAAGTTCTAGCGACTCGAGGCGACGCGACGATGGAAAGTACGTTGGCGTTTTCCGTCGATCGCAGTTCCGCGGCGTGCGCACAGCGAAGATTGCGAAGTTTCACCGAGGATTCCTTACAAAGCCTGACTTATTTAGCCCCAGGCCCGCGATGGGCGCCACCTCTCTATATCTCCCTCTCTCGTTCGCCGCCCCTTTGACTCGGTTTGCACCGTTGGCGGAGTACGCCAGTACTCTGAGAGGGTGAGGGGGGGGGGCGGGAAGGAGAAGGCGAACAGGCGGAAGAGGAAGGTTGCAGGAGCGAGCTTGAAAGGACGAAACGCTCTTTTGTCGGTGCCCTCTACACCGCAGAACTTTATTAATTGCGCGTTTTGTTATGCAGATTCCTGCAGAGCCAGTCTCAGTCTTCCAACTCCCGGCTCTGCCCGGAGCAACCTTGTCTGCCGGCCCGCGCGACCCCATTAACTCTCCGTTGGATCGCGAGAGTCCAGACCTTACCTTTAAAAGATTACCCTCGAATTCATTGCCTTCAATTGGGAAAACTTTGCGCATTCTGCAACGATCTTTCCCACTATCATCGTCCCCGTATTCCTCGTTCCTCGGATATCCAAATCGCGTTATGCATTTGATAAATTGTAGATAATGAATCGGTTTCTATGTGCGTGGCATCGTTATGAAGCGGTATATACTGTCTTAAAATGCTTATAATGTGCGAAACTTATGTGAAGTTTATTGACGAGTCAGGAAGTCAAGAGATAAGTTATCCACGAATAATTTTTTTATATGAAAATGTGATCAGCGTTGCAAAAATATAATCAAATTATAAAGCCAAATTGTAACAATGCTTTCCACAAATTGCAGACTTCCTATTGAAAAATTCTACTGATTTCAAAATTTTATCAAAATGTTTGATATGCGAAATGTTAAAATTTGATCATTGCATGCATGTCGAAACATAAACTCAACAGTGTTTCTATAGCACATCTACGTGTAACTACTAACAATAAGAAGAAATAACAAACCGGGTATATATACATTACATACACGTGAATATTTGGGCACTTGGTGTCAAGAGGTCAAAATTATCGATTTAAAACGGTTATTACTGTTCATGTATACATATAACTGATTTTCTCTCTCACACATACATTTCTCTCTCGTCGAGCCATTCCCGTTATCAGTTATCACATATCAAGGATAATCTGTAATTCTCGACACAAATTGCATACAATAAAATATGTTCTCGGAATCATTGACTTCCAAATGCTTTGTTCTCAAATTGATTGCACTGTGATCGCGGCAAACTACTCCCTCGGACTCACCGATAATTAGCCCATTAGGAAATTAAAAGTCCAACTGCTGGAAAGGCGAAGTGATGTCTATTTCGCCCGAAGCACGTTCTGTTACGACGCTAGTTATTACTCCTGTCTGAGGCAAAACGAAATATTCCTCCGGGAAATACGGCATAAGAACCACTTAAGAGCATCGGCCTCCCGTTCACTTTCCTCTCTCGGTTTAGTCCCTCATTCATTCGAGTCATAATAATCGTGACGCATCAAATACCGGTTGCTGCGGCTGGTGCAAGTTTTTTCCGAAGTCTCTACTATGTCTATATCACGCAAGGAAACTGGACGGAACCATTGACACCAGCGAAACTGGTTACGATCAACGACACAACGATGCACAAAACATGGAATATAGCAAGCTGTTAAAGCTGTTAGAATGATAGGGATATGAATTAATGAAAATAACTACAACATACAACATACGTTAATTTTTGTGCCTAATAATTTTACCATCATATAAATGTGTATATATATATATATATATATATATATATATATATATATATAATGTTATTTCTTTTTTTTTTTATGGAGTGTTTATGAAGAAAGAAATGACACAGAATTAAAGGGCGGAGAAAAAGACAAGAATGTAGGGAGAAAAAATTCGAAATCTATTGCGCGAATCGAAAAGATTCGACGATAACTCCGGTAATATCGAATATCCCGAAAGTTTCGTTTCTCTCTTTCTTCGTTCTATCGGGGTAAGCGAGAATGGCATCGTGCTTCGAAGTGTTTCACGTGCCTGTTGCGTTGCAGAAGCTCGCGCGGTGCGGCGAGGCGTCTCGCGCGCGCGCGCGCGCTTGTATATTAAATGGTGTTCACGGTTCACCAGTCAAATTGAATCCCGGGCTATTGGCAGATTCTCAATAAGCCTCAACAATGGACTCTGTTACACGAGCCCCACGTTCTCCGGTTCGCTCTTTCTGTTCTCTTCGTCTCGTCGTACTTTCGTTCGGCACGTTTTCGCATTTTTCCCCCAGGAACGTATCCATCGTGCTTCGCGTTGCTGAGGTTTCGTTTCTACAGTTTGATATCCCTAAAAGTGTTCACCGACAAAGCACTCGAGGTGAAAATTTTTTATTTCCGAGACATTTAAGTATATTCTTTGTAATATTGAATTCAAAATTCTTGGTCCCTAAGTATAATTATGTTGGACAACGATATTAGAAGCGAAAAATCATATCAAGCTTTCTCTTGTACGTTAATTTGTACTTATACATTAAAATAAATTAATCTTTTTACGTTCCACTATACTTGCATTCAATAATATAATAATGTAAATTGGTAAAACACATTCTTTTTAATCGTTTTGTATATATTAGTAAATAAATGTATAATTCAATCTGCATGTGTTTCCTATTTCGAATAGAAATAGACTGTGGCTATGACAATCTGTTAAGATTTAGAGCTATCTATTAATCTATAAATTAAAAAGAAGCTTTATTTTTAGTAATTTAAATATTTTGTTAATCTAATTATTTAATATTGTATTATTTAGTGTTATTTAGTGTTGCAAAATTCTAGCAAGATAACAAAAGAAATTCGAGGACCATCTCGATTGAAGTAAACTTCTAGCTACGTTACTGTTTCTCTCTCTCTCTCTCTTTCTTTTTCTCTCTCTCTCTCTCTCTCTCTGCCGGTTTTCTTCAATTTTCAATCACGAATCGTATATATGCATTATCTGAACCTTTTAAATCAGAAAAGAAATTATAGATGTGACAACATTATAACATATAATAAATATTTGTCAGAGCTATCGCTAAGCTATGTATATACAGTAAATACAGTAAATACAAATAAAAGAGTATACTTTTTGAGATCTATTCGTCGTAAATTACAATAATGTCGAAACTTGATCATTTTTAGCGAAATTTTAATTTTCTTTCGGATTAATTTTGTTAATGTATCAACAAGAGGTATTACGATATGAAAATAATATGAATACATTTGGATTAAGATGATGCGGATGAAAGCAATATAAAAGAACAAAAGGAGAAAAATCAAGCTGTCGTACATTTCAGAGAATTTTTACGTGCAGTCGACATTTCGTTTGCCGATACACGCGAAGAGCGGATGGCGCGTGCATTGTCTGGACGGGGTTAAGAGGGTTAGACCGAGTTAGGGGATGTCATGGGAGGGGTTGAGGAGGTAGGAGGGTATCGGTGTAATGAAGAGCGACAGTGGCGCCCCTAGCCATCGCTAATTTGCCGCTAAGTGCCTGGCTTTGTTTCCGTACGGTGATCCCATCGTTCGCAATATCCTGGATCCAAGGTGATGTTCCACGGTGTTTAAGAGAGAAAGCCAAATAACCTGCGGTATTACCCGGCAATCTAGTATAGATCGGACTTGGGAAAAGGGATGACACCGACGAAGCAAATACATTCGAGAAAAAGACTAAAAAGCGGCTAGATATACTTTTAATGTTAGATTATCGAATTAAAAAGAAAAGTTACTTAAAATCAGTCTTATGATCAGTCTAGACGCTTTAGTCAGACATTTAATGAAAAAATAGACATGCAATTTCGGGAAAAAGAGTTTATACGTAATTTTATATTACGCAACACAATTTCTTATATTTTTTATGTTTCATATAGTTTTCTGCCATGTTATATTTGCACGGGTAAAACGATTTTTAATGATAATACTGAACGAAAGTGAATTTATATCCTCATAATTATGTTATTTTCTCTTGTAATTTTTTGACTCGTCTTATAAGTCATTGTTATTATAGCGATTAGTCGTCATACAAAGAAAAACGTACATTGCTATATATAGTACGATTAGAGATTAAGTTACGCGATATTATGCAATATTCGTTCTCAGTGTTCCCACTTTCGTTTTCTACCAGCAACGAAGGTTTAATCATTTTACGTAGTTATCTTACGTAAAGTGATCAAATCGCACTGATTATATAAGGAAGTAGTCGTTCACAACCGAAACAGTCATTGCATGTGCTTGCGATCTAGCAACATCGGAGCAGACAGTAGAACGATTAACGTGTTCCATTGAAACGTCTCGCCGCGCCGCGCCGCGCCCGCGCCGCCGCCGTCACGATGGACACTTGGATACTGTTGTCTCTCTTAGCTGGCGTCATCGCTGTTTATTATTATTTCTTTAAAAATTTAAACTTTTTTGAGAAATATGGAATTATACATATACCACCATTGCCTATTGTGGGTAATATGGCACCAGCTTTTCTTCACCAGTTGTCGTTGGCCGAACTTGTTCAAAAAATCTACCATCTAAATCAAGACGCCAAATATGTTGGTTTTTTTGACAGTATGACTCCAGTTGTGATGATTCGTGATCCGGAGCTTATCAAAGCCATCGGCGTTAAGAACTTTGAGATGTTTCCCGATCGTCGCGGTTTCGGGATCATCGACGAAGCTATCGATCCTTTGTTTGGCAAGAATCTATTTTCTCTTCGCGGCGAAAAGTGGCGAGTTATGAGGACTTTACTAAGCCCCGCTTTTACTTCCAGTAAAATGAAAGCCATGTTTAAATTGATGTCCGAGTGCGCCGCCAATTTTACTGACTTTCTTTCCACGTTACCTGCGGACAAAAATGTTATAGAAATGAAGAACTGTTTTACCAGATACACGAATGACGTAATCGCAACTTGCGCTTTCGGTGTCAGGGTCGATTCTATGAAGAATCCTAACAACGAGTTCTACATTTACGGAAAGGAAGCTACGACTTTCAATACTCTGCGCAACATAAAATTCTACTTTATTAGAGGTATGCCAGGTGTCACCAAAATGTTGGGTATTAAACTTACTAGCGATCACGTAAGTCAATTTTTCAAAGATCTCGTAAGGAGCACAATACATACCAGAGATACGAAAAATATCGTACGACCAGACATGCTGCAACTGATGATGGAGACTAGAGGAAAAAAAGGACCCGGAAAGGAATTGACGATCGAGGATATGACCGCGCAGGCATTCGTCTTCTTCTTTGGCGGTTTCGACTCTGTCTCCACCTTGATGTGCTTCGCCGCTCATGAAATCGCCGTGAATCCAGATGTTCAAGCAAGACTGCGAAATGAGGTAGACGAGGTTCTAAAGACAACCAGCGGAGAATTAACTTATGACACGCTGAATGGAATGCAGTATCTAGACGCCGTGATCAATGAGGCTCTTAGATTGTGGCCTGTGGCTACTTTTGTGGATAGGATATGTGTGGAAGATTTCGAGTTACCGCCAGCGCTGCCCGGAGACAAGCCCTTTCTTTTAAAGAAAGGGATGAACGTTTGGTTTCCTGCTTACGGTCTGCATCGAGATCCAAAGTATTTCGAGAAACCGGACGAATTTTATCCCGAACGCTTCCTGAGCGTTGAAAATAAGAAAGATATAAATTCAGCCGCGTATATTCCATTTGGAATTGGTCCAAAAATGTGTATAGGTAATAGGTTTGCGTTATTGGAGACTAAGGTCATGCTATTCCATTTGTTAGCTCGTTGCGAATTGAAAATGTGCACGAAAACTACGCATCCGTTGCGATTGAGCAAGAAAACTTTTAGCATGCTAGCAGATGGAGGATTCTGGCTGAAGATCGAAGCGAGAGACAATCCTAGTGTATCCTCTAACGTTGTTAATGGTAGCGCGACTGATGGACATATTTAAATTTACAAGATTACGATTATTACGAATAAAATTTGCATTTATAAATCTGGCGCAATATCATTTAACTGATAGAAATAACATTCGGACTGATTTGGATACGCACGCGTAAATAGTTTTATTTTAAATAAGGTTTTCGTTATAATATTCAAATTATTTGCAAAGCAATAATGTTTCCATTTGCTCATAATTTTATCTCTTCTTTCATTAACGTTTCATGGAAATTGAATATGACATTAATTCTTAATCTGTTTATTTATCATTTATATTGTTTAGTATATGTGGATGAATAATTTCATTATACTATTATTATAAATTTCTATGTTAGAACAAAATTTAAATTTAAATTATCTTAAATATAATTAAAAAGAATGAGCTATCGCGATAGAAATTCCATAGAAAGCGAAAGATTTTCTATGTAATAAATTATTAGAATATGAAAGAACATTACTGGAAAGTTACATACTTAATATAGAAAATAATATTGAAAAAAATTCCATAGAAATAGTGTTGAATATATGTGTACATACATACATATACCATAAATATAATAATCCAAGAAATAGAACATGTTATATTCTTTAGTCAAACAAAAAATGATTAGTATTAACAATAATTATACTTTAAATCAATATGTTAAGCGAAATATGTTTAAACATTGTAAAATATACGTGTATAATAGTATAATAGTATAAAGAATATTACACGGATTATTACATGTAGCAATATCTTAAGTTTTTTATATATATTAGAAGATACATAAGAACGATTTATCAAGATGATCATTAAAGCTAAAAAAATAATATAAAGGATTATTTATTAATTAAAATTTCATAATACTACCAAAATATACGAAGCAAAACATTTTTTTATTTTTTCCTTACCTGTCGTTCGTCATAAATCCAAAATCATTAAATAAAATTATTGTAAAAAATACGTTCTTAATATTCTTGAAAATTTTTAAGTTGTTTTATAAAATAACAAAAATTTGTTACATGTTTAATTATATCTCGAAATAATTACATTTATTTAAAAAAATGTTTAGCGTAGTTGCTCAATATATACAATCATATATATTCAATCATACATAAGTTGCAATACCTTTTTCTTCATAAATTTCGAAATATGCAAAAATCGTAAGATTGTTTTTAAAAGCATTTCGACATTATAACCTTGCTGTAACCTTGTTTTCGACTTAAATCATTGAGAGCAATGCTTATCAAACGATCGAGTTAATAGAATGATTGTCAGAATGATATATTCTCATCTGTATAATCTGATGGAAGTCAAGGTCAAGATCGAGAGTAGAAAAGTGGACATCATAAATTTGTACATAAATTCAAGATTATGATGAAAGTAAATCAGCAAAAACTACTAATGATAATGGATATGTTTGATACTAGCATATACCATAATTTAGAATATCATTAACAACATCAACCAATTTTATAGTTTAATTTTCTAATAATTTTGAAATTTTAATAGTGTATCATAATAACTTATATAATCTGACGCTGAATAATGTATTCTAGTAAATTTAAAATTGTTAAGATTTATATAAAATAACAAAAAATTGTATTTGTATTTTTTGCTAATAGATGTTGCTAACAATTTTAATACATCAATTTCAGTCATCTTTTAATTCGAATTTTGAGTACCACATTATATGATAGCTTTAACAATCCTTTAGTACTCTCTATAAGTTTTTATTTCTTTTATAATATACAAGCAGTACAACAATGAGAAAGTTAAAAATGAAAATTGATAATTAATAATTGATAATTTGTACATTTTACTTTTATAAATCTTCTAAACAACTCTTTACTAAAAAAAATTGATTTTTAAATGTACCAAAAAATCTATCCTTAAGACAAGGCGATGATTGTCGTAACATAACAATTTTTTTTTTATAAAAACAGTTACTAGGTAATTTTGTCATATACTGATAAAGAATACTGATGTAGTTGACGAATAAGTATGTCTATTGATAATGAATAATAATGAGAATAATAATTTTTTAGATATCAAACCAAAACCTATATGATGTAGTTTTATCAAATCTATAAATGACATGCTGCACAAACTTGTTACGTAAATGAGATCCTTATCGATGATATTCATTTCGTACCAAGAAGTAATGATAAAAAATAGATATAACAAACAAACAAACATAACGATAAGAAATATAAGATAAAGTAAAATAATGACGTGTCTCATGTCTATATATAGCGTTATTTTATAAGATTTCGTTCTTTTATAAACTGTATAACTTTTTATTATTCTCCAGATTCAAATAAAATACTTCCAGTGACACATTGGTGCGTTTTCTTTTGATAAAATATATGTACAACGTAATAATTCATAAAATAACCCAAAGCGACAAATATTTTTATATATTATTTATTTTTTATTTTATTCGATTTTATATGCAAATTGCCAATTGAACACAATTATGTAAGCTCCTTTATTTTTCCTCTACGGATTATATAAGCAGTTTAATTTCACATATCTGCGTATGTGTACATACATATGTGCAAACATCTAACATACATAACAAATAGCTACATATTTAGATGTTATTACATTAACATTGTATGTTATATGATTATAAATTATATAATTAAAAGAATTATTTAAGATTTATCAATTTATACCGTGTAAAGTGTAAAGTATCAATGATTGATCAGGCTTACATAATGACATAATGTCAGCCTGAAAACTTTTGCATCAGAAAGATTGCTGGTATATTATGAGATAGGAAACTGCTGTACGAGCAGTTGTCTCCAACGACTCGTGTCGGCAGTATCGCTGTGTCACATTATACAAAGCGTTTGCGAAGAAATCGTTGCGAGAAATTTTCAAATAACATTTGCCATGGAATATTGGTCGATATTGTTATCGATAGTGATCGGTGCGATCAGCATTTATTATCTTTTTAAAAATTTTAATCTTTTTAAAAGACATGGTGTTATACACGTACCGCCTGTTCCAAATTTCGGAATCATGACATCGGTTATATGTCGCCGAACATCATTCACCGATTTCATCTTAAAGTTATACAATTTTAATCCAAACGCAAAGTATTTTGGATTCTATGCCACGACAAATCCAATCTTCGTGCTTCGCGATCCGGAACTCATTAAGACTATTCTTGTTAAGAATTTCGAAGCATTTCCAGATCGTCGTGGTTTCTCCGATTTGAATGATCCTTTACTTGGTAAAAATTTGTTTTCTCTTCACGGAGAAAAATGGCGGAACGTGAGAACTCTGTTGAGTCCCTCTTTTACGTCTAGCAAGATGAAAATAATGTTCACGTTGATGTCGGAATGTGCTGTAGATTTTGCTAAATTTCTATCGACACTGCCAGCAGACAAAAACGATATAAACACGAAAGATGCCTTTTCCAAATATACGAATGATGTCATCGCCACATGTGCTTTCGGAATCAAGATCGACTCTATGAAAGATCCAACGAACAAGTTCTATGTTTACGGCAAGGAAGCAACTAGCTTTTTAGGGAGCCGCGCCCTAAAGTTTTTTTTTCTGAGAACTTTTCCGAGTCTCGGACGATTTCTCAATGTAAAGCTTATCAACGATTACGTGTCGAACTTTTTCAAGAACATTATAAAGACTACAATCGCTACTCGTGATGCGGAGCACATTACACGCCCGGATATGTTACAATTGATGATGGATATTAGAGGCAAAGAAGGTCGTAGAGAACTAGACATCGACGACATGACTGCGCAAGCGTTCATCTTTTTCTTCGGTGGCTTCGATACCAGCTCAACCGCAATGTCCTTCGCAGCTCACGAAATCGCAGCTAACCCAGAAATTCAGGCCAAATTACAGCGAGAGATCGACAACGTTTTGGAGGAGTCGAAAGGAGAAGTGTCTTACGAAGCCATTAACCGACTCGAATATTTAGATGCGGTGATAAACGAAGCTCTCAGATTATATCCACCAGTCGGCTTCTTAGAAAGAGTATGCGACAAAACTTATGAATTACCACCCGCATTGCCGAACGAAAAATCTTTCATCATGAAGAAGGGTATGGTTTTTTGGATTCCGGTTTTCGCAATCCATCGTGATAAAAAATACTACGATAATCCGGAGAAATTTTCTCCAGAGAGATTTTTTGACAACAAGATGTACCATAATTCTTCGTGTTACATGCCATTTGGGTTAGGACCAAGAATGTGCATAGCTAACAGATTTGCCATGCTGGAAGTCAAAGTCTTGCTGTTTCATTTGTTAGCGCGATGCGAACTGAAACCTTCCGCGAAAACTCCATCCCCAATAAAATTCCAGAAAAGTCTGATAATGATGCCGGAGAATGGGTTCTGGTTAAATATTCAGCGTAGAAAACATATGCATCCTGCGCTGGAGTCTACAGTAGTGAAGGGCTAAGTCTTATCGTTAGAAAACATTTTAAATAATAATAACGAAAAAGTATCTTGTAATAAAAATTGATTTGTAATAGAAATTACTATAAATACGTACTTATTACATAGTATTTGTATTATATGCAGTAATAATGAATTCAAAATTATATAATGTATTGAAATTATTTGTTGCAAATATTAATAATTAGTAGATATTATTGAAATATAATTTAACGAAAGCGTGATCGGGACAGATTGTAGCAATTCCTATTTATATAGAATCGAATCTATAATCTTGTTCTGTATAATATGAACATTTCTTATATATAATTCGTATATGATTCGTGGAAACAAAAAAAGCAATAAGAATAAATGTATGTAGGCTATAGAGATAATTATTATTAAATAATAGTATTAAATTTAAATTGTTATTTAATAATATTAAATAACAATTTATATAAAATACACATATTGCGCAATTCTGGATAATTAATTTCTCAAATTATAAATTCTTACAAAAATTATATAAAATGAATATCTAATTATATGTCTATCTAATATTTGCTTTTAATTTTTCAAAGTTATTAATTATCATTATAATTAATTTATTTTTTGTAACTTTAACGCAATCATACATTTTATATGATTATATGAACTCCAATATCACTTCATAGCAGAATATTTTTTATTTAACAAAATAACTTTTTATTTTATTATATTATGTGCACATGTATTCAATACATGTTTTATTTAAATAAGCAAAATAATAGGTTGCTATTATTTTATGATGCTATTATGGATCTAGTATTCTCTTTGATATTTATATAAGAACAAATAAAATATTATGTAAAAAATAAGATATAAAATAAAACTAAAACTTAAAGAGATACATTTCTGTACTAATTCAATGATCGATTCAATCGTACAACTTTTTAGTTTTAATATTTAGTACAGTGCTTGTAATTACATGTAAATAGCATAGTGCGAGAAACTCCGAAAAGAATTGTAAGAGTGTTTTTACCACTTACCTTGTTCAATTTCTTCGTAGCGAGACAATACATCGTTTCGAGCCACCCTTATGATCTCCACTTCATCAATTCTTGGCCCTTCTCCAGCATGCAGTCCCTTTCCAACGGCAGTAAGTGAATTAGATTAGAAAAGGTACTTTTATCGAGCCAGAGAACGTTTCTTCAAACACACATTTCGAAAAGCTGATAGTTATTTTTACCAATATAATCACGCTGCAAACTATCTTATGTATATGTTACATTAAATTTAATGTAACTTATAAAGTATCTTTTTGTCAAAAAGACATTTAAGATCGCTCACTAGATTTATATTTTTTGTAATGAAATCATTATTAACATTGTAATAGTTTTCTTTCAATTACGTATCGTTTAACGTGTTTAGATTATATATTGTTGTAAAAAATATTGTTCTCTTTACTATTTCTAACTAGTTTAACAGATATAAATATAGAAATTTCTTATTTTTCTTGCCTGTTAGCCTGCTCATTAGAATGCATTAGATAGAATTCGACTAATGATAATATAATTAAGTGGTTCAGTCGGCTACTAATTATCTAAATTACAAGGATTTTCCGTAGCAGCGAAGGATAACTGCGTCTAATGGTCAAATGGATCAAATGCAACAAAGTGTTCAGTTTGGGTTCAGTAGCGACGGCGCGGCACGACGCGGTGCGTCACGCAAGCATCTTATTTGATAGAAATTGGTTCGGTTTGTCCGTCGAAGACCACCACGAGTCGCGATTCCTTTGGCAGACTTGGCAGTGCTGGGCGCCGCGCCGAGAAAGCGCACGCTCTTCCGACCGCTCATTAAAGCGGCATTCACAAGCTCGTATCGTGTCTCTGGAAACGCCCAATCACGTAGCCGAATACATTATACGACTGTTATATCCACCATGCAACTGCATGAGAGAGAACGTGCAACCAATGCAGATTCTCTTTGGTCAATGCGAGAGATCTGTCACAGACTTGACACTCTGAACCCTGATAATCGGCATTTGTATCAGTACAGCAATAAATCTGAACTGCTCTATGGAAGAGATCTATGATCTATATATTTACAAAAAAATATTTTTTAACTGTATTCTCTCAACACATTTCTTATTTCTCCCTTCTCATTCTCATTTCTCTTTTCCTTAAATATTTATAACATCCCTATTACTTTGTTTATGCATATGTAAATCGCAATTTCTAATATTAACTGATATATTTATATAATCGAAACAATATATAATATATACATATTAATATCAATATTTATTAAAATTATCATTTTATATAGTAAGAAGTTTTACATATCAAAATAAAACACGAAACTGCGAACAATATGCAGCTAAGAAGAACATTTTTTTCTCAAATCAATGTTACATATATTAATCATACAAAAATTATTGTACAAAAAATATTCTTAAAAAGATTTATATTTAATCATACCTAATCTAACTTATAATTAAGACCAATTAAACTAAAAAATTTGTTTACACTGACATATCTACGGTAATTAAAGTAATTATGTTAAAATTTTTTCGACATTACATTCAGAAACCACTTTCAGTTTTCATAGCCTATTTTAGAAAACTTGAGTGGCATTAAATTATTGCAAAGTCGCAATTCATCTTATAACAGTATTTAAATTAACAAAATTTTCGTCTCATAGAAAGTAAATCTATCATTTATACACGTTCTTTAGCCCAAGCCGAAGGACGGATAAAAGTGTCGGAGTTAAAATTAACTTTTTCTCCGCTCACACTGTGAAATCGTTCAGAATCGAACTTTGTGATTTTTTAAAGTACTTAAAGTCATGTTAAAAGTTATCATGTTATAATGTAAATTGATACTAAAATATTTGCTCTTTTTTTAAGTAAAGTTTCGCTTCGAAAGATCGGTCCGGAATTTAAAAATCTTTACATATATTCTGTTCAATACCATTTATACATTCTGAGAGTTTTATTCATTACAGCATCCAAATATATTCCATCTCATTGATCGCTAAGAATGTTTTCTATTCAAGTCCCTCAATGTTTCATCGATTTAGAAACTAATCTGAGATATCACGATTGACGATAATTTTGTGAAACTTATCAGTGTCGAATTGCTATCGAAAAACCATCAAGGAAAAGAAGCAAATACTTGTAGCATTATAAGCATTATATTTTCGATAATGAATTATTTTTTGTTCTCTTTCTTATTTCTGTTTTTCATCGTCAGCTACAGTATACATTTTCAATGAAACGATATATTATATATAAAACTTAGTAAATATTATCAAGTGTATAAATATGCACATAGTTTTATGCATGCACTTTCCTATTGCAATAATATGTATGACACATGAAAATTTTTTCACAAAAACCGATTATTTTTTTGTTCAATTTTTTGAACATTTTTCCAAATATATGCATAATCCAATTAAATGGCAGACGTATTATTCAAAGATATACATACTTCGCAATATACATACAAATTAGCAAATTATTGAAATATGCATAATATTTTATAACACTAATTAACACAATATAATAACGTTAACTAATTTTCCTTACTCTAATGTTGGCTAACTAATTCTAGTATATGTATATTATAAATATTTATATATAAAATTTTTGTATAAATTTTTAACATATAACGATATATATATTTTTTGTTCCTGATTATCTTATGCAATTATTTGTTTTAAAAAACTTCCTTTTTAATCAACATTACGTTAACTAAAAAATCAGAAGCTAGTTTGATACATTTAATTATAAATTTTAAAAATTTGACAAATAATTTTTTTCTTACATCTGGCTTGTTCCAGTAATAACATTAGTTGTAATAGAATGATGCGTATTTTTCCTTGGCGTTACATTTAACCAGAATCCTCCTTCAGGTTTCATAAGAAAGCTATTCTTAGCGATCTTCATCGGTACCGATGTCTTCTCGCAGGTTTTCAAATCGCAACGGGCCAATAGATGAAAAAGTAGAATCTTCGTCTCCAGCAATGCGAATCTATTACCTATGCACATTCTTGGACCAAGACCGAAAGGTAAATAGGCTCCGCAGTTGAGACTGTTCTTTTTCCGTTCACCACGAAACCGCTCGGGATCAAACTTCTCCGGCTCTTGGAAATATTTAGGATCCTGTTGAAGTCCATAAACCGGTACCCAGATGCCGCACCCTTTTTTTATAGTGAAGGGTTTTATACCAGGCAATGCTGGTGGTAGCTCCAAGTCTTTTGAGCACAATCTGTCCAACATCGAACCAGCCGGATACATCCTCAAAGCCTCGTTGATTACAGCATCTAAATATTCCATGCCATTAACCGCTTCGTAAGGTGCTTGTCCATTCGTTTCTTCCAAGAGTTGGTCAATCTCCTTTTGAAGTTTTTCTTGTATATCTTGATTTACTGCCATTTCGTGAGCGGCAAAACACATTAACGTTGAAGTACTCTCGAAGCCTCCAAAAAAGAAAAGGAACTCGTGTGCTACTATATCGTCGACAGTCAATTCTGTCTTGCCATCTTTACCTCTACTCTCCATCATCAATTGTAACATGTCTGGACGAACGATACCATTCTCATCCCTAGTTTTTATGGTGGTTTTTATGAGATCTCTGAAAAAATTAGCTATTTTTTCAGAAACAATAGTCAACCCAAGTATTCGTGCTAGCCAAGGCCAGCCTTTAAGTATGTAAAACTTGAGAAGAATGGATTTGAAATTGGTTGCCTCCGTGCCGTACATATAGAAATCGTTTTTTGGATTTTTCATAGAATCTACACTAACGCCAAAAGCGCAAGTAGCGATTACATCGTTTGTATACCTCGTGAAAACGTCTTTCATTTCCATTGTTCTCTTCTCCGGCGGCAGTTCCGCCAAATAATTGCTAAAGTCAACACCGCAATGTGACATCAGCTTAAACATACTTTTCATTTTACTGGACGTGAAAGCCGGGCTCAATATAGATCTTACCTCGCGCCATCTCTCTCCACGAAGGACGGCGAGGTTTTTCCCAAAAAATGGATCTTGATGTTCATCGATGAAAGTAATATGATCCATGAATATGTCAAAATGTTTTAATATCACGGATTTAATAAGTTCAGGATCGCGAAGCATTATGATTGGTTGTCTCATATCATGCATGCCGATGTATTTGGCGTCAGGATATAAATCGTATATCGATTTGACAAACTCAGGTAATGATTGGCGACGGAAGATTGTTGGTCCCATATTTCCTATTATAGGAAAAGACTTATTCACATGCGGTATTCCATGTTTCTTGAAGTAATTTAAGTCTTTGAAGAGAAAATAATAGAGGCCTAGGGTGCCTGCTATCACCGACAAAACGATTACATATATCATGTTGATAGTCGTGTTTACACCATACAATTGAACTCACGAAGAGACGTAATGCACAGTTTACTAGACAGGTCTATTATTCGAATATTTATGTGATACGTTATTAAAGTGCCCGACGTTACGCGTCGGAGAACAACGGTCAATTGCTATATCCACATGAACTATATTCTCTTTTATATACGGTGTACATGATATCGTGTGGGGGGAATCTATTGTTTATGACTCGGTCAGGATCTCGCATACAACGCATATTAATTGGCTTTAATAGACTCGAATTGACATATCGTACATTAGTGGGGATAGCCTCTCGATAAAATATTATATTACAAAATTTAATCAAATGCATAAGTGCATCTGGATTTACCGTTCCTGTTTCGATAATTGTGTCGGTATAGTATATAATAGGAGGTTTCTCTTTGAAGAGATAATATTATGGAATTATATTTTTATTTCTCTCTAGAAATTCAACGGCCTATATCTTAATCCCAGGTAGCACATACACGTTTCAGAAATGTTTTATAAGCGTTTTTCCGAAACGTTTTATAACCGATTTCTAGAAACGTTTCTCATGAGTAAAAATGTCCATTCGAAAAACGTTCGATGGAACATTTTTTTCCGATAAAATAACATTTAAAAAACTATTATAGAAACGTTTTGTTTTAACGATAAAGACATTTTAGATAAAGACATTTAAAATTCCTACTTTTCACGTCTTTCGAACGTGTTTATGACGTCTTTGAGACATGCGTGAGAATGTTCTAGAAGCTTTATGCATATACCATTTATGACGTCTATTTTTTTTCGAAAAAATTCGTGAACTGGTGCACATTCGTGCAATAAGTTAAAATGAAACAAAATATACTTGTCTCACTCTAACTTAATTGCATTGCTGATGTGCACCAGTTCAGGAAGGATTCTTCAAAACGGAACACACGTATAAATGTTCTTTTAATGGCCACGTTCAACAGAACGTTTATTTTGCAACTATTGGAAGTTTTCTAAGTTTAGATTTGTTTGATGACAAATGATTAAGACCGGTAGGACAAAATGAATTTAAGTAAATAAGTGGATATATATGTGCATGGATAAAATGATTTATTTTGTGCAATAATTAGTGCAATATAAATTTAAATCTTTCAAAAAAGGCTATTAAAGCTATAGATAAAGCAAATTATAATTTTGAAAGGAAAAATTTAATAAATAGATATTTTTATTAACTGTAGAAACGTAAAACATACGTTTCTTTAATCATGGTTTCAAAAACATTTTTGTTCAAACGTTTCTTAATGGTTCTTTATACGGTTATGAAACTATGTATACGTTCAAAAAACGTATATGGAACTAATATGTGCTACCTGGGTATGTTATTTAAACAGAGCAAAGCGAGGTTAAATTAATATTGTAAACGAAAGTGTTCAAATAAACGCGAATATAAAATCTAACATGATTTTGAAGAGATTTTTTGAACCAACATTATCAGCAAAATATTTCTGTATGCTAATGTAATGTATATTTTTATGTTATCTGGATGTGTCGATTCCTCACAGTAAATGATAAATAACGGTAAGCGATAAAGTAATTTTATTTACATAATATCTCAATATATGATCTACGTACATATATTTTTTGTATTAAAAATATAGCGAATGATGAAAATATTTTTCGAAGAACTCAATACCATATATATAACAAACAAAAATATAGATGATTATCACAGCAATAACTGCGCAAAAAATTGATTGCATCAGAAAAAATCTATATTACAAGTCAGAAGTTGATTTATGATCGCGACACAAGATAATAAGCAACACTTGATCTTTAACCCTTTCCATATCCTATTTCATCATCTTTGTAGCAAAAAATAATAACAACAACTCTCTTTATCATTCGAGGAATATTACATTATCTTTTGAAGTTATCTTTTAGATCGCAAAAATATTGCGATTTTGACTGAAACAAAGAGACAGAGAACAAAGAAATCGGGATAAAAGAACATCAGAATAATAATTAGATAACGATATTTATAAAAATTAATACATTTAATTGCAATTATTATAACAAATTATGAAGCTAATATCAGAGCTACGTTATGTATTATACATACCGTCCTCATTTCTGTTTTTTTTTCTCTTTTTTACTTTGTTAATTAATGATACTTATGCATATCTTAACGTAGGCCTTCCTTAAATTTTTTCACTAAAATTTAAGGGAGGTCTACGTTCAGCAGTGGACAAATCAGGCTGGATGATGATGATGATGATGATGATGATGATGCATATGTGCTTCTTGTGATAATCACATCGTTTTAGCATTGCAGATAGGATATGAGGAGTGTTAATGATTCAGCGATTTTACTTCACTTAATCTTGTGAATCAGTATAAACATCTTCTTATCGGAAAGTTAAGAATAATAAGTCTTACGTGATCATTTTAATTTTCCAGTCAATCTCAGTTTGTATTTTTTTCTTGAATATCCTGATTTATCGCGATTTCGTAAGCGGCAAAACACATTAACGTTGAGCTGCTATTGAAGCCTTGGAAGAAGAATATAAATGCCTGTGCTATCATATCGTTGCACAGTCAATTCCGTCTTGCCATCTCTGTTACTACTGTCTATCATCAGCTGTAACATGTCTGGTTAAACATTTTTTATTTTCTTCACTTCTAATTTTTATGGTGGTTTCTTGGAGGGCTTGAAAAAAATTTGATATTTTCTCATGAACAATTTTCAGTTTAATTATTCGTGCCAGCCAAGGCAAGCTTCTAAATATACAGATCTTGAAAAGGACAAGAGTGTTGAAAACAGTCGCTTTCTTGCCATACACATAGAATTCGTCCTCCGGATTTCTCATAGAATCAACATTGACACTAAAAGCGCAAGTAGCGATTACATCATTTGTATATCTCGTCTTTCATTTCCATTATCCTTTTTCTCCGCCGGATGGCAATTGCGCCAAGTAGTTGCTAAAATCGATGCTGCAATTCGACATTAGCTTAAACATACTTTTCATTTTACTGGATGTGAAAGCCGGACTCAATATTGATCGCATCTCTCGCCATCTGTTTCATTCAAAATGTTTTAATGTTATGGATGTAATAAGCTCGAGATCGCAAATTATTAGAAGTAGTTTGGTCATATCATACAAGCCGACATACGTGGCGTCAATATGTAAATTGTGCGTTGAGTTGACAAGTTCAGCTACAGATTGACGCCGAATGATCTTTGATCATAGATTTCCCACAATGGGGGGGGGAGAGGCGTTACATGCGGAATTCCTTCCTGGTATTTCTTGAAGTAATTCAGATCCTTGAAAAGGAAATAATATAGGTCTAAAATGCCTAGTATTACTGACAAGACAATTACATATATCATGTTAATAACTTTTTCTACACGATGCAATTAAACTCTCGAAGAAACGTAATGCGCAGCTCACTCGATGAATCTTACTTGAATATTTATGCGGCGTGATTAAAAAACGCTCGTGTATGATCGATGTTAACCGCGTCAGTCGATGATGAACGACTGCTATTTCCACGAGTAATGTTCCTCTTACATCTAATGAATAGGCATCAATATAATCATGTGGAGGAATCTGGATGATAGTACGACTTTTTGTTAGAATTTGACAATTTATTTACAATACCTTAACTCGATAGAGCATTCTCTTGATAAAATAATATACAAAGTAATTCTAGGAAATAGGATGAGTAGTCTTGTTTTTCTAATTTAAATAGAAAAAAATAATACTAAACTAAATTTTATAAATTTTTTACTCAACAATCTTTTTTTTTCTTTGCACATTGATATATGTTTAATATACAATTGTGCTTTATTTAAAACATTATTACATATTTTATACCAGAAAATATGTATAAATTATAATTTTTAATCGCTTTTCTATTTCGCGCAATATTTATGTAACAAACAAAAACAATATTAGCTAAGTTATGAAAATTAATAGCATTGAGATGAATACTCACATACCTACACATTATTATGCATCTTTAAGCACGCAAACTCTACGTAATACCAATGATTAATTTTAATTGATGCTTATAACTCTAATTCTACATAATTTTGATTTGACTTGAATTAACAATTATTATACTTGAATTCACAACTATTATAATCTCGATATTTTTTGTATTAAATATTTTTTTTATTTCTAGAAATATAATTTAACTTCTAGAGAATTAAAATATTATATATATTATATACCTATATACATATATATATATATATATATAAAATCTATTTTACAATTTGCAATAAGTTTATAGGTACATATATTTCTGTTAATAATGAATATTACAAAAACGCAGAAATATTTTGAAAGTGCATTGTAACTATTTCAAAAGATTTGGGAAAATTAATGAAAATGATGTCTATTGTAAAATGATAAATTTTGATTAATTTTTTCTATCTTGAAATATGTGTTTATTCAAATAACATATAAAATTCGAAAATGTTTATTTTATATATATTATTATTTTATATACATTTTTGTATAGATACATAGGTTAAGAAAAAACCAAAACAATATTCTGTAATAAAATAATATTCTGGAATAATCTAATCCTAATCTTTATAACTTTTTTGTACTTATTACTTTTTTATATAATATTTTTGTATAACTTTTGTGTATAACTAGATTTTGTTTTTGACCATAGTTATGTAATAATTTGCTTAAATCATTTTTAGCTTCTTGTTTGTATAACACATCTTTATATTAATGTAAAAAATTATGAAAATATTTGTTACAAAAATCAAAGAAGTGCAATGGAAAAATACAAGTGGTTATTTAACTATAATTGCACAGTTATCTGTATTACGAAGAAAAATTGATTGATGATAACAACGTGAGATAAGAAATAGTATTTAATCCGTTAATTTCTTTCACGCTCTCTTCTTTTACCATTTCGAAAGAAACTTATACAACATAATGTGACTGTGCTTAATGTGAAAAATATTTTTAATGCAAGAATATTGTCATTTCTTGAGCTTGCAGCAACATATAAGCACGCAACATCTTCTTGCCGAATCATTAAGAAAGAAATGTCCTGTTTCGTGTTCCTTTTAGTTTCATTGTTTCCATTTTATCTGAAATTTAAATAACATTATATCATATAACAATACAACTACATTTTAGGCGATCTTTTATATATTTTTGGAAATGCTATTTTATTTTATTATATCAAATTTTTTAATTATATAATAAGTTTCTGCATCGTATATTTTGAAAAATTTAAACAATTTTATGAATTGAAAATTATTTTCCTTTAAATCAATATCATTTTGAAAATATAATTATTTTTGTTATTTAAAAAAATAACAGAAATTATTTTTTTTTGTTAAAATGTCTTTTACTTCCAAATTTTCAAGGAATTATAAAAAATTATTAAAATTCTTACATTTAGTGTGATCCATTAACAATATTAGCTGCAAGAGTGTGATGTGTATCTTTTCGTGGCAACACCTTCAGCCAGAAACCACCTTCAGCCTTCATATTGAAGCCGTCCTTAGCGATCTTGAGTGGTATTGGCGTCTTCTCGCAGATTTTCAAATCGCAACGGGCCAATAGATGAAAAAGTAGAACCTTCGTCTCCAGCAATGCGAATCTATTACCTATGCACATTCTTGGACCAAGACCGAAAGGTAGATAGGCTCCGCAGTTGAGACTGTCCTTTTTCCGTTCACCACGAAACCGCTCGGGATCAAACTTCTCCGGCTCTTGGAAATATTTAGGATCCTGTTGAAGTCCATAAACCGGTACCCAAATGCCTTGTCCTTTTTTTATAGAATATGGTTTTAATCCTGGTAATGCCGGCGGCAGCTCGAAATCTTCTACGCATAATCTGTCCATTGCTACAGCAACCGGATACATCCTGAGAGCTTCGTTGATCACAGCATCTAAATATTCCATGCTATTAACCGCATCGTAAGGTGCTTGTCCATTTGTTTCTTCCAAGACTTGGTCAATCTCCTTTTGAAGTTTTTCTTGTATATCTTGATTTACTGCGATTTCGTGAGCGGCAAAGCACATTAACGTTGAAGTACTCTCGAAGCCACCAAAGAAAAAGATGAAAGCCTGTGCTACCATATCATCGATAGACAATTCTGCCTTGCCTTCCTTACCTCTGTTTTCCATCATCAATTGCAACATATCAGGACGAACGATACCATTCTCATCCCTAGTTTTTATGGTGGTTTCTATGAGATTTCGGAAGAATTCTGCTATGGTTTGACGAATCAATTTCAAGTTGACCAATCGTGCAAACCAAGGCAAGCTTCTAAATATGTATAGCTTTATTAAGGCAATACTGTCGAAAGTAGTCGCTTCTCTACCGTATACATAGAATTGATTCTCCGGATTTTTCATGGAATTAACACTAAGGCCAAAAGCGCAAGTAGCAATCACATCGTTAGTATACCTCGTAAAGATGTCTTTCATTTGCACTACCCTCTGCTCTGGTGGCAATTGCGCCAAGTAATTAGCGAAGTCGGCACCGCAATCCGACATTAGCTTAAACATGCTTTTCATTTTGCTCGATGTAAAGGCTGGACTCAATAAAGATCGTACTTGCCGCCATTTCTCTCCGCGAATAGAGAAAAGATTTCTGCCAAATAATGGATCTTGATTTTCATCTACGAAAGTGCGATGCTCAGGGAACTGCTCGAAGTGTTTTAATGCGATGGTCTTAATGAGTTCGGGATCGCGAATCATCACAAGTGGAACGGTCATGTCAAATATGCCAACGTACTTAGCTTCGGGATGTAGATTGTAAACGTCCTTTACAAGTTCGGCTACAGATTGACGACGAAAGATCGATGGTCCCATATTTCCCAGTAAAGGAATAGGTGTCTTATGCGGTATGCCATGTTTTTTAAAGTGATTCAAATCCTTGAACAAATAATAAAGGCCTAAAGCACCTGCTATCACCGACAAAGCAATTATATATATCATATTGATATATATATATCACTATTGTTTTCTCTCCACTAAATTAGTATACACCATATAGTTTTGTGAAAAATGAAGTCAATTATTGCACATTTTTCGTAATCGGTTTGTTTCTTGAATATTTTTATTTATCGTGCTGTTAATACGAAGATGATACCAAGGCACAACGTTACGCGTCAAAAGCTGACGGTCGACTGCTGCTGCACTGACGCAATCTTTCAGATATATAACATCCGACTTGTCATCGCTTGCGCAAGTGAAGTTAACAAGTATGTTGCGTCATATTAATCATAAGTATTTTCGTTGTTATCGATATGATACATTTTTGTAATTAAAATGAACACTGGATTCGACAGTTTAACGTTTATTTAACATTTTCAAGTATCTATATTTATCATGTTAAACAAGTATATTTGCTCATACCTTTTACTTGCTCTTAATATATAACGTGATTGATATCAATTAATATCTATTTTAATATATAAAATTACGAAATTGCATTAGATTATTTATTTCTGACGAACGACTTTGAATATGTCAAGTTCTAGCTAGTCAATAATTCCTGGCAATGGAATGTTAAAAGAATCTGTTATCATCAAAACTGCTCGCGCATCGTTAAAACGATTCGTAGAATTGCCGCAATACATATCGCAAATTTCCACGTACCACTAATCTTTTTTATTATTATTATCCTAATGCACATATATATATAAACAATAATAATAAAAAGATTAGTATGTGCAATTTTACAAATTGTACGTTTTAACGATGTTTGCGCATTGTTATATATATGTTGTAATAATGTAACACATCGTCTATATTATAATATAACGTATAATGTGTGGTACGTGATTTCTGTCTATATTCGTAAATTTATATATATATGTTTTTGAATATTCCTACTGTTCAACTGCGTTATTATACTTGAATTACTGTGGACTTTGGAACCGACACGACTAGTTTGCTTCGGTAATTGTAGGATGCCGGTTCTCTCTCGGTACAATACTCAACCAGAAACCGCCTTCAATCCGCATTGAGAATCCGCCTTTTTGTAACTTTGCAGATATCGAAGTCTTTTCACACGGCATTAACTGGCAACGAGCCAGAAGATGAAATAACAAAGTCCTCGTCTCTAGTAACGCAAACCTATTGCCGATGCACATCCTCGGGCCTAATCCAAATGGATAATAAGCGTCAAAATTACACCGATCTCCTTCATCGAGGAATCTCTCGGGCTTGAACTTATCCGGTTCTGGAAAGTATTTAGGGTCATGTTGAAGCGCGTAAAACGGGATGAAGAGTAACATTCCTTCTTTCACAAGATACGGCTTTGCATTTGGCAGTGCAGGAGGCAATTCAAAATCCTTCACGCATAATCTGTCCGTCATTGGTTGTACCGGATACTTCCTGAGAGCCTCGTTGATAACGGCATTTAAATACTTCATTCCGTTGATCGCCTCATAAGATGGTTGGCTATTCGTATCTTTCAAAACTTTGTCGATCTCATTTTGCAGCTTCTCTTGGACATCTGGATTGACGGCAATTTCATGTGCCGCGAAACTCATCAGCGTTGAGCTGGTCTCGAAACCAGCGAGAAAAAAAATAAACGCCTGCGATGTCATGTTCAAAATGGTCAATTCTCTCCCGGGTTCTCTTTTACTTTTGCTATCCATTAGCAGCTGGATCATGTCCGGGCGAGTAATACCTTTCTCTTCTCTGATCCTTATAGTATCAGCTACCAGATTTACAAAGAATGCACTAGTACGATCATCTATTAACTTGAGATTTAACAGACGTATGAGCGACGGCACGTGCTGATACATTAAAATTTTTATAAGAGCAACGAAGCCGAAATCTGTCGTTTTTTTGCCGAAAACATAAAATTCGTTCTCCGGATTTCTCATCGAATCCACGTTAATACCAAAGGCGCATGTGGCGATCACATCGCTAGCGTATCTCGTGAATATGTCTTTCATTTCCATAACGCGTTTGTCTGACGGTACGTTCATTACGTACTCGGAAAAATTCACAGCACACTCGGATATTAATTGAAACATCGCTCTCATTTTGCTAGCTGTAAAAGCGGGACTCAGAAGCGCTCTAATGTCACGCCATTTGTCGCCGCGAAGGGCAAACAGATTGTTTCCGAAAAGCGGATCTTGAGTTTCGTTGCCGAAAAAGAGGTGATCTTGAAACGCGTCAAAATTTTTGATAGCGACAGACTTGAGGAGTTCAAGATCACGGATCATTACGATCGATTTCGTGAAATCAAACATACCAATGTACTTAGCATCAGAATGCACTTCGTATATTTCTGTCATCATATCGGCGAAGCTTTTTGGACGTATTAAGATTTTCCAAATCTTTTTTAACAAGAAATAATCTTTTGCATGTGGAATTCCGTGCTGCCGAAATACGTTCGAATCTTTGCGGGACGAGTAATAGTAAATGGCAAGTATACCGGCTAATATTGATAAGGCTATCGTCCAGTACTCCATGATAGACGTTTAATCGGAATACCCGATTACTCCTTTCGTTCGAGATAAAGTTAAACACCAGTGTCGTGAAAGTTTGTGTCAATATCACTGTTTGCAGTTGTGTGAGGTACCCTCAGGTTATAATCCAATGCAATATGTTGAACGTGATTGTTTTATCAAGTCAAAGCGATCTGCTCGCTTGGAAACCTCGCACACGACTGCTCATACCGAGATAGAGTTGTTTGTCAAATGGCTCGTTGCAACTTCATGATGTCATTTAAGAGAATTATGTAGCGGGAGGGGGGGGAGAGAGAGAGAATTCATATATTACATGCTCTTAAAATAGGTAAAATGTTGACAAAATATTTAAAAGTTAGTATTAATAAATTAATAAGTAAATGATAAATTCCATAAAAATAATGCAGTTCATAAAATGTAATGCAAAATTTTGTATCATTAATCAGTAACGTACAGCTGATGATGTTTTCTATGATGCTACGATCTTAATGTTCTCACATTACAACGGAAAACGCTCGTACTTAGTAGCGAATTACATCATATGATAAATGAGTCACGCCGAATATTCGCTGTGCGAGTACACTATGTAGAAACCAAATTGAGCTTCATTGATACCAGCATACGATCGATCGAACATTACTAATTCCTCATATCTAATCCAGATGGCGTAAATTCTTCGATGTATGAGAAAGAGACGCATTATTTATTGGCGATAATTCGTTTGATCTTTAATATTGATGATACAAGTTTGAGAAGTTGTTCCGCTCATATCTGAAAATTAATCCGGCAGACGTTCCAAACATTGTGAAACAATATGTCTGTATAACCGGATTATATGAATTTACCCTCCTACAGTATATACAGGACCAACATGTAACCATACATAATCATGCCTTTGATGCGAACTGACTTACATTTGTAGCATACATACATGTATATGTATATGCAAATTCACATACTAAATTGCGTTATTCGCAAGTTTGCTTTGACTTCCAATCACACTATCAACAATTGGACACAAAATATAAATATTTTACTGCAAATTTAAAGGCCGAAAAGTCAACATTAAAATAAAAGACATATAATCGCGACATATAATGAATATTTGTTGCATACTTTTTGCACGTAATGTAATGAATGAAACATAAGAAATACGTTTCCTTACAATTGAACTCACACTTCTACATTAAATATATATAAGTACCATTTCCATATATAAAAGAATCTATACCAAAAAGAATAAATTTTATTTCCTGTATATATGAAGGGAAATATGAGAAGTAATTTCTCATCAATGAAAAATTTTATTTTTTATTTTATTAATTTTTTTAAATATCTTCCAAAATATCTCAAAAAGGTAAAAGTGTATACTTGTTTTGAAATCCGACTTACTTTCCTGGCGGGAAACAAGATTTTGACCAAAAGTTTGATCTATCTAGCACGAGTAAACGCAGAAGTAAGAAAGAGTAAGAGAAATGAAAAGGGGATGGGAGAATGCACAGGAAGGGATGGAAGGGATGGAAGGGATGGAAGGGGAAAGAACAGGAGAGGGCTGGCGGAACAAAATTCATTTGGCCAAATTAAACAGAGTTTAGCAATTTGCGCTTAATCCATTTGTCGGGGATCCGCCGTCCGTCAGTCCGTCCGTCTGTCTTTACTTCAACCCTCTCTCTTTCTCTCTCGCATTCTCCCCTATCTTTCTTGTGTCCCCTATCCTGCACCCTTCTTCTAGCCGTTCATTCTATATACCTTACCGGTACCTCGATCTCTTCGCCTTTTGAAGCTGCACGTAGATTTTATTTCAATTTCTCTTTAGAGAGAGAGAGAGAGGGAGATCTATATATATATATGTCATGGCCATTTTTCTCGCGATGATATCATTCTATTGAGTTTTAACACTAATATCAGATTATGTACGTATTATATGAATTAGTATGTCATACGAGACATTGCGATAAAAAAGCAATGAGCTAAAACATGTTACGCTTTGTTCGTTTATGTATGCAAGACACGACGTTGTGTTTGTTTTTTTATTTTCTTAGTATGCAAATCATTTTTGCGCGTACATTGAGCGTATCTTATAAAGAGAAAGATCTCAAATTTATTCCATTGCAGGGGTGAATCATAAATCATTTTCAATGCAGATAATAAATTTTTTTCTTACTACTTTTCCTGCTACGCTGCTGGTCTAAAAAAAAGTGATAACAGAAAATTAGCGAAATTTGGTTGCGTAAAATATTCAGAAAAATAACAGAAAAATAAATGATGTATTAATTATACATGAGAAATATGTTATGTTCAAATTTTAGCTTTACTGGATTCACACTGTTGTTGCATCTAGCTTCTCATGTGCGAATATTCTCTCTCCCCCCCCTTTCTCTCTCTTTTTCTCTCTCGTTTCTCAACTATTACGCCTTAGCATTACGCCATTCCGTACCGTCTTGCACGTTACAGTACGAACGCTCTTTCGCTTGGATCTTGTTATCACGGAATTGTTTCCGTTCTCCCTCTCAGTTCCACACCGCCGTCGAGCTTTCTCTTTTTTTAGACCAGCAAGAACAGCGAATCTCACCTAAGTGTATTGGCAGTTGTGTCCACGTTTTATTTCCATTCAATCGGGTGAACACCTTTAAGATCACTTTCCCGTAAAGTGCTCGGCATTAGATGTTCTTGATTCTTGGTCCTGTGGCAACCATCCATGGATCCGTTTAACGCCGGTGTCCAGCGTTCATTTACCAATCGGTAGCATTGGTCCACTGATGTTTTCAACGTTCTTACACTTTACGTCTCCTTGCGATTATGCGTGCGCTTTCTTTATCGATCTTCGTCGAATGTGCGTTTTCTTTGAATGTCTCAACTAACATTTTCTGAATATCATAACGACAAAATTCCACGAACAAAAGCCTATAAACTGCTATAATGAAAGGTTTTTGAAAGATGTCGAAATCGCCAAAAGAGAACAAATCAAATGGATAAGTCGCGCTCTGATACGTTACGTGTACCTACTAATTTCTGGATTTCTCTAGAAATAGGCTCCTTCCCTCCTTTAGATGGGCAAAGATTAATATACTTTACAAACCAAACACAGTAAAAGGCAATCATATTTGCCTTTAGATGCGCGAATGGTAGACATTCATAATGGTTCATAAATTAACCGTTCCACAATCGAATTACTAAGCATCGTTTCTCTTTTTACCGTTCCGATTGTTCCCGCTGCTAGTTTTGTTTTTCGATCAGAGGTGAAATACTGCGTTTACATACAACTTGGATATGTACAATATAGATGTGTACGGATTGTGCGATGTAGTGAGAATGTGAAATATATATAGGTTTCTACAAAACGTCGGCGTATTTATCAGATAGCAATTCTTAAATTGAACGCTCATACATTATTAGCGCGGATATCGCGCAGGTAATGCGCTTCGTTTTTAAGACTAACACGTTTTTAATATTTCGATTTACCATCCCCACGCTGCCAGTAGTTTATTACGATCGAATTTAAAATGCATTCTGTGTAAATGGATCGTATTAATAAACCGCAAGAATGAAATAATAATGTAACGCCGTTTAATTTATCGCATGCACCGTATTTCCCGTTACATTAAGATTTATACTTAACGATTTTGATACTAATGCCTTTTTTCCGTTAGTATATATAAATCTCAATGATCCGAGCGTAAAACTAATGGAATATGGGTGTATCGGTACAAAGTCGTACGGAATGAACTTGAAAGTTGTCGCGCGTATGCTCACGGTGTACTCACACAAGTCACACATAACGAGAGTTTAAGTATCCGTGAGGAGATGGATACTAAATTCACGGATATATACGCGCGCGACTAAAATAGACGAAGTGAATATTATTGCTGACTTTCTGGCTCCTCGTAATACTCGGTTCACGAGCTTAAAATCTGACATATATATGCCATATATCCGGCTATGGTTCCATGTGTGATTTATTTCACTGAGTTATTTAATCGCGCATCAATGTCCCTCCCATCTCTTCCGTCGGCTGCGTACACTGGCGTGCACTCGCTTAAATCCTTATTTCTAACATCCATAATTCTCCATAATTCCTAGACTACTATATTTATTACGTTTTGCAGGACACGTCGGTCTGAGTGTAAAAAATATTTACATATATAGGTCGCAAAACGGATTACAAGCACAACAAATTGATGTTGGAAATTTTTTTTATAACAAATGTAGTTGGGTGATGTGTCGCTGTCGCTACGTCATATTTTCCATTCTCACAAGAGTCGAAAATTCTCATAATTCGACCGAAAACGGAGTCCTGCATTCTCCCGACTCGATTTATTTTTATATTTTATCCAAAATATATCCTTGATACAGCTAGCTCCTTTTATTAATTCGTATAATTAATCAGCTGCTAGTTCTGTGATTTTAACTTTTTATGTTTTAGAAATATTTATATGGTATGTTTTCCTGGTGTTTATCTCTCTAATTTTGAGATTTATGTCGATATTTTTCTTGAAAAAGCCAGTAATCTACACGAATTACCGATTAGGACAAAGATTATAGCAAAAAGGCATGTGTATGTGTGTGTGAAATAAATAATGTCGACATACCAGCATCAAGTGTCATCGATTGTCATTCTATATATGTACTTATATCCAGGAAGCAATATCGGCTTGGACCTTCAAGAAAGAAGACGACGGACGCTTCTTCGTAGGTCAGGTTGGCGACGCGTATTCTTGGGGAATTAACACACATTTGCGATGTTATTGCTTGAGAATACACGTATTTGGCCTGGCCGGTCACGTCACACAAGCAGCGACTCGAATAATCGTCCGCTAGATTCCTCATGAATCATCAGGCGCGTGAAGGAATTGAAACTATTTCTTATTGCGTACCAACGAAGTAGTACGCTCAGCGATAGTGATGTACTATATAAGCGTAATGATAGAACGATTCTAGAAAAATCAGCTCAAGCGATTACTCTAAAATTGAAAGACGACGTTCTTTTTCTTTAATTTTATTATATTTATTATATTTCTTCATACATTTAAATATGTTTTAAGTGTGCATATATGTGTTATAACGCGGCTCAAGCGATTGCGTAGAATAAGATAAAGTAAAAGTAAAAAGTAAGAAAAATAAAGTTAGATAATAATTTGTCTAGCAGAATATAGGAGATACAATCTTTTGTATAAAAATTATTTATCCGTGTTACTAAGTTATCAAAGACT